AAAGCAAATAAAACTTGTTAAGAAACACATTAAAACTGGGCGGACGGCGTCACAAACAAAAAATTTGAACCATTCCCGCTTTAACATCTCTTAAGTAAAAACATCAACACTGATCAGCATTCAGTTAATACTATTTCTCGTGAATGTATGAACTATATCAAAACAACCCAATCAGTTTCCCTCAAATTATAACGGAGTAACGTTTTGATTAATTGAAAGGTCTATCTCTACGAAGATTAATAAGTGAATTAAGTATACGTGTATCCAGAATAGTTTTTGCTTAGGAAACGCGGCAACTTGTGCTTAATTAATTTTACACCTTTTTCTTTGTTTATCTTCCTTACGGATATTCGCATTCACTGCTAAGTTGTTTCGTCTTGTAAAGAGTCCACTATTAAATTATTATCAATGAAGATTGCTCTTAACATGCATTAACTAGAAGATTTAGTTTGGTACAATGCATTATAATTTAACACAAAACAATGTTTTCCCTTACGATGGTGCATCCAACTGGAGCTTCCGCTGAACTCAGCTGAGCCAAGGGAGGTGTTCCGAACCTATTTATATCTTAAGAGAGCAGAGAGAACATCACTGACGATGCCTTTGTCTGTTTGAATTAACAAAGCGCAATGAAAAAGCTACATTCTTTCATCTGTTCGACTTGTAAAGCGGAATTCGTTTGAGAGGATGCAGAAACTTCAAAATACCTTAGAATAGTGTCCCATGACCTGAAATTTTTTTGGAATTGTAAAATTGTACAGGCCAATGACTATATGTCTTCTATCGAAGTACACTTAACTTGTGCGAGTTTAGCGACACCTGAGAGCAAGGTTTTAGTGACTTACAAGTTAAACTTGAATAATTTGAGTATTTCGCAGCAATTTTGGTCTAAAAATCAAAAAGGTAATTAATAAAAAAAAAAGTTGATTAAGATATATTTAGTTCTTTTGAATGTCACCTCAAGTTTTGTTAATTTACTTAGCAAGACTTAAGATTTCGACGTGGAGTAAAACAGTCGGTTTCGAAAGTTCGTTGTTCCATTTAATTTGCGGTAGTTTAGGAAGTCAGTAACAGCTGCATGGCCGTGCATACTGGTATAGCTTCCAAATTGCATTATTACTGTTTTATGAAGATCATTGCACCGCTGCACTGGGGTGATTGTACGGGTGAATCCCTCAAATAGGCTACTTTGTACTCGTACTCGTTAATGAACTCCACAAAGCAAATTAGATGAAATCGTTTTGTATTTCGCGTCGCTTGTTGTTTAGGCATGCATTGTTAATATGGGGAAAATAAGAGATGAGAGAAAATTCATTTATTTGTAGACACAATTAAAAAAAATCTGGTGGATAGGAATTTTTATCTAGAAATCTTTGTGATCCGACTAGAATGTTAATCTGTATTTAAAACAACCGGTATAAAGTCGATGTCCTTAGTTTTAACAAACATGACAAAGTTGAATATTTATGTCGGTAAGCAATTAAACTTTTTTCCTAAACAGTAGTGAAGTGAAATTAAAATGAGCTTTCAGAATATGACATACGTGTGACGCATTAATTATATATACAATCACAAATCTTATTCAACACCCTTTAATTAATTTAGTCTTTCTTTCATACACAAGTTTGAATTTGTTAATATCTCAAAAAAATTAACGAATTTTAGTTCTAAATTTATTGTTACAAGTTGTCTATAAGACTAGCCACAATTCATTTTTTTTTGAGAGTGGCAAAAAAATTCGTCTAAAATTGTTTAGACAGAGCTTTCTTCGGTGAAGAGCACATTTTTTAATAAAAATATATTTAATAATTTTAGTATAAATAAGACATATTAAGACGTTCAGTGTCATTCTGTCTTAAGAAGTAAACCCACAGTTCTTAAAATTTTAGACAAAAAAAGAGAAATGGACGATTTCATTACTATCTTAAATGCAGTCGGGTTGATAGATAATTGACGTTTCACTTGACTTTCCTTTGCATAGAACCAAATTATTCTCATTGTTCTCAGTGTCACAGTATCTAGATTTTGTTTTTATTTTAAAATCTCCTGCGTCCCTCTTTGAAATAACAGTCTGTACCTTTATTACAGAATTGGAGGGTACAACTGCAACTTAATAAAGTAACACAAAGTAATAATAAAAAAAAATTACTAAACTCTAATGTTTTAATGAATACTGAATAGAATTACTGTGTGTTCCTGTTTAATATCATCTGTTTGTGGTTTATTTTACTTTCTGCTGGTAACTTTACAATTTTTTCCTTTCAGTAAGTACCTTTTAAACCACTAGAGTAAACATACTACATGTTTATAAAAATATTTATGAAAGAAAAAACTAGGAATATTGCCAGCGATAAACTGGAACCATATGCGTCCTAGAAACACGCTTCGACAATGACCCAAGGGACGTTTGTTATTTTATTTGTCAATTTATCTCTTTAGCCTTCTTTTCGTGAATTGTTTCCTTCATCCCCTCACTAACGTAATTTTAGGAAAATTATTTTTGCTGAAATCTAGTGGTATGTTCAAGAAAAAAATGTTAAATCATTTATCAAATTTTAATATTATTGTGGTCGTCATTTCGGAGTATTGTACATAATCGCAAAACCTTTGATTTTATATTCTCTTTATATTTTTCCGAATTTATTATTGCCCCGCACAAAGGATAAAAGAGAATTTCCAATAAATTGTCCTATTTTCTCGTGAAATGAAGTTTCTTTTTTTTAAGGCGCTCACCCTTGTGCTACAAATTTTTCTCGTGTTATATACTGTGCTAAACCTAAAACTGGATCACTTAAGAATATTTACTGAGATTTCTCCTTCCAAGACGACCTATATATTACTGAGATAAAGGTCACAATAATTTTTCTACTTCACTTAACGCAACCATAATTCTGATTTTCAGTCTAATACTTGTTGCAAGTACTTTGCTTATTTTGAACACAACACTATGTATTATAAAATACATAAATAAATTGTGAAAACAGATATATAATAATCAATTTTCTTCTTCTTAATGTTGACTTTCTAGGAGAATGATATAAGAGAGCCAATTATTTTTTTTTTTGTAGATACGTTCGCAATTTTCTTGATTTGTGGCGCCTAAGACGGCGCGTTATCCATCACGATAATGAAATTAACTGTTTTTCAAACCACTGTACGAATAAAGCCGCAGTTGTGTCCTCGTCGCAATCAGCTCGACAGTTTTTTACGTTTTTGGCTGAAATTAATCGTGCTTCATTAACCTAGCCATTTTCATTCCCGACATGGAGAATAATCACTCGTTGGCCACATGATGGTTACGCATTTAGAGCACATTTGCACGAATTGTCGCTTAATTCTTTTGTCCCCACGTCGCGGGTGTCAAACCATATTTCGTCCAAATGTACAATGTGTTGAGGCTTTTTTTAACACTTTGATTCTTTTAAATACATAAAATAAGCCCGAATAAATGAATTTCCTGCCACGTGTTTTAGGGGAATATCCAATATTAGAATCATGAACAGTTAAAAAAACTTGTAATATGCATTGTGAATTTGCAAACGATAAAACAAAAATAACAGGTGTTGGCGAATTTACCAAAGTTTCACAACATTTTTGAGTAGAAATCGCGAATTAACTGGTCATACACTAATTATCAGAGTTAGGTACAGTCGAAGTGATGGGGAATCAATCAGACAAATATTAAAAACGACGGCGAGACGTCAGGGGATAAATTTAGCTGGCCGATTGTGTAGTCTCACCTCAGTTTTCGCAAACAATTAACACAGTATAATAAAATTTACGACTAACCCAGGTTATAACAATCCATAGTCTTGCGGCTCAGGTGTCAATTAATAATAATGTGCAGATCATTTTCTTCGATTGTGTAATCAATAATTTTAGTCCTCTGTTTTGAGGAGACAAACTCATTCATATCAAACAAATTTCTAAGTGACATTTTTTCGATGTATAAACATAAACACTCGAAGTTAAGCATGTTATTGCTGAGACCACATTTTTCCCTTTGGTTATCTGCTTTAAATAGATTTTATATTGTCTACACTTGTGAGGCGTCCCCTTGGAATTTGCGCTCCCGGGACGCAGAGGTTGCGATGGTGTTATTTGCGCCACTAGTTTTCACTTTATATTATAATTTCACAAAACAAAAATCCCAAAATCAAATATTACAAGTTTCCAAAAAGCAGGATTTGTTAGATTTTTACTTCAGGCGTGAGAGAAATTCTGTCGAAATAAACTTCGACCGATTTTTTATGTCGTGAGTGTGAATTAATTTCGTGCGGCCTGCTTGTTGTTACTCAGCAATTATTTATGAACCTTCACCTTTTAAGCTAAAATTATTCTTTACCATGACATAGCAAGAAAGATTAACAGCAGACAAAGCGGCTAAACACAAAAATGAAGTAATCTCGTACTTTTAAAGGCACACACCGAGATTCAAAGGCAAACAAGAAGTTCAAATTTTATCACGAAATATTTACTAAGAAATGTTCCTTACTGTACTGCTAAAGATGTATTATTTCTACGCTATCTGCTAATTACTTTTAAGCATTTGTTGAGCAAAATATTTCTCTTTGTTTTTCTTTGTCCCTAATCCTTTTAGTCTAACGGGTGTCGGGCACAGTACTTCTCTGGTAATATTAAGTTTTAATGAAAAAATTATATAAGATTGATTAACAATATCAAATAGACAGACTAAATGTTCAAACATATTTTATAACCGTAGACGATTCTTGCCAATTCCCTTAGTTAAATTCATAATAATTCAAATTGTCACATTTTTGACACCTAAAACACAATCTTAATTAAACGAACGCATTCGCGTCGCCAACATTATTATTTTAAAAATTAATTGCACTGCCTTTTAGGAGTCTTTTTTTCAATCATATGGTACTAAGAAACTTTCTAAATATATCAACCCGTGGAGACAAATAATGAATCGAGCACATCGTCCGCACAAGTAGAGTAATGAATCTTTCTCAATTTCCTCGTATTGCTTTCAGGTGTCGCCGTCACCAGTCCCATGTGCCTCATCGTCCCCCATCCACTCGCCCACCCCCAGCCTCCGTCGACCAAGCAGCGCTCTGCTCCACCCCGACCACGCCAGGCTCCTCCGCCTGTACCCGATATCATCCCCCGAGCAGACCTCCATGGAAGACGTGTCCGACTCCCAGAACAACCACGTGATATCGCCTTCGTCATCCACGACTTCCTCGTTGACGTCCGTCGCCGCCGCCGTGTCGGCGGCCTCCCGCGCCAGCGACTCCGCCGACAGCCGCCGCCGCTCTTCCACGATGACGGCGCGCTACTCCCTCTTCGACGCCCTCGACCTGGAGTACGCGCTTCTGCGGGCGGCGGCCAGGGGCAGCGTGGGCCCGTACTCCCTCAGCGAGAGCCTCCACAAGCTGACCTTCACCCAGAGCCTGGCCTTCCCGGCCTTGGCCCGAGGCCTGGCGGGCAAGCGGCGGCGCTCGCAGCAGAACAACAACACCCGCCCCCTGGACCCGTCGGAGAGCGGCCTCAACGCCTTCGCGAAAGTGGTGACTGCGCTAGTTCTTGTTCTAGTTAGTGTTCTGGTGTTCGCTGTGGTCTACAAGTTCGTGAGGACGTGAGGATTGCTCCTGGCTCCCGCTGGAGGAGCAAGGAATGCGCGGTTTGCCGTCGGGAGGAACACGTCTGGGGCGTCCACTGGGTACCGGAATCCAGGGGACGTTACGTGAAAGCGAAGCTTACGAAGAAATCGTAGTGTTCGTGATAGCAGAAATGCGAAATTATACGGTTTCAAGGAATTGATTGTAGTCACGTAGCGTAGATGGGGGCTTTAGTCTTAAAGCTAAATCCTTGAATTATTCGCGATTGTAGTTACGGTATGATGCTACGGAGGAATTTTTATTGTGTAATAACGTATACAAAGCCTTTGTAAACCAGCGTAAATCCTTGTGGAATTGTGGGATGATTGTTATTACGTTTTTTGTTTTGTTGGCGAGTGGTGGAGCTATTCCGGCACGAAGGTGACATTTGCTTACAATTAAATATTAGTTTTCAGGATGCGTGTAAAATGCAAGGTTTTTATTGACTTGAACACAAATAGATGTGAAATTATTCTGTCTGTGCATTTATGTCGTGCACGTTATTTGTATAGGAATATTTCAAAAGCGCATTCCGTGTAAATAATGTAGGTACAGTATGAGTGAAGTAAGGAACGAAAATTTAGGTTATTTCCCTAAAAATTTAAAATCTTCGTGGGGTGAAGAAATTATGCAGTAGAGAATATGTGTATTAACTACTTTTTTAAAACTATACTTCACATTATTCGTCAGATGTTCGTGCGGAATAGCTTCATGTTGTCTCTCATGGCTAAAGATCCCTATCGTGAAAGGATATTCGCTTATTGATCCGCTGATTATTTTTTATAAAACCAACTTTATTTGTCTGTTAGTTTTTAATAACCTTTGTAAAACATCAGAAAATAATGGCCTTACAATACATAAAATGATTGTTTTTTGAGTGATAGTATGTTTGCATATCATAGTGTTTTTCTTAAATCAGTAATTAAATTGCATAATAAAACTATGTTAAAGTGTAGTTAAAACACATTTTCCAGTATTAACAAGAATCCAAAACACGAAGATATTAAAAAAATTTAAGGTGTTTTTTCTTTTCGTTTTAGCGCAGACTTGCAGTTATATTTTCACTAAAACTGGCCCAAACTTAATTAAAACTTAAAATTTGCTGAATATCTTCTACTAATTAAACAAACGCTTTGCAACTGCACGCTAAACCGATAATAATCGAGCTCAAGATCGTTAGTCGATGTTTAACTTTAATAACAGTGTCGGCTTTGATTGATGAATGCAACATCAGTTTCATGCTTACGAATGTCCTTGTAATGACGAAACAGAGCCGTTGTGGAAATAGTTGTTAATAAAATGACATATCTGTTATTTTCTGAAATTAAGAAACAGCTCTTCTTAAAAAAAATCACTGTATAGTTTTAAAATTTTTCGGTAGCATTGTACAGGATAAATCGGGCGATCATAAACTCCAGTCCTTGGTAGTATCTCGTTACACTGATACCTGGAGTGCCTTAATCCCTTGGCTTAACTCCGGCCCAACTGATAAGAGCACCTACTGTAAACTCGGCATAAATTTTAGCTGCCAATTTTTTAAATTCCAGTTTTAAAACCATTGCAAATAGAAACAAACGTGAAACTAAATAAGTCAGCAAGTAGACGTGTAATAACTGAAGAAGCTAAACAACGTTTGAATTTTATATTTCAAAATATATTACAATTATGAAAATCGCATTTCTAGATACGGTTTCGTGAAATGTGTTTCGTATTAGCATCATACTGTATTATGTTATAATTTAGAACAAATTTTTTAACTCCCTGAATTTGTAACATTGTCTAAATTAACCTAAAATAGGGGTAATTTTTAAGGTACTTCGCTTCCTCCTCCAAAATGAACTGAATGTGTTCCCGCACTAAATAAGCGTAATTAGAGTCAGGTCAGGTCAAATATTTGCCGAAATGGAGCCAAGGTGTCGGAACAGTGAACGCCCGACCCGGACAGAAGTTCAGGTTCTTCGAATGAATCAGCCAAAAGGGGATACCTCGAATAATGTTTTTGATTTGTTTACTGTTTTAAAAAAGCAAGGGAAAAATATTTTGCAGAAATACCTTTTCAGTTTTTTTTAATTTACAAATTTTGCAATTTTTTTTAATGTCAAGAATAGCTATTTCACAATTTAATATTAGCAAATCATTGCAATTTTTTCTTAAAAAAAAAATTATAAAAGAACTAATTTTCTGTCTTTTGTTTGCTAGTGCAACTTTACGTAAAAATTTGTAAAAGTTGGTGAAATGTTCCATTCTGAGCTTCATAAAAGCATAATAAATGAAATAATGTCATTAGTCTAAAAAATATTTGCTTTATTATTATTCGCTAAATTATCGCGGTCTCGTTGTCTTCGGTGTTTTGTTACAAACTGCGTAAAAGCGTGGAAAATGTTTTAATAAAATGTTATTTTACGAAAGCAAATAATTGTAATAAAAATTAAACTATTATTTTCTCAGTTTTGTATTAAAATGAAAATTTTTGTAAGTTAAAAAAAGTGTTCCGATTTTTAACATTTATTGTGTTTTCTATTAGATACCTATTTCATGTTAATGAAACGATGCATGCACAGAACCCATTGTTTTTTATTTATAAAGTAAATTCCATTGAGATAGATTTATGAACAAAAAAAAATTCGAAATATTCCTTTTGGCTGATTTATCGTGTACCTTAATCTTTTGTGTTAATAATGGTATTTGATCCTTTATTTGACAGTTATTTGACCGTAAATGTCAAAGTGAACAAGGAAAGTGTTCGTGCTGCCAACATCATTATTCTACAAATAAATTGCACGGCCTTTTGGAGGAGTTTTTTTTCGACCTTGTGTTATTATAATAAAGCGATAGTGTTGGTCACATCTACTGGTGTTGAAATTAATTTTGTTTTATATTATGTGATTAAAAATCGCCTTTTTTGGATTGTTTGGATTTTTCGATTTATTTTGTCTTTATACCGGATGTCCAAGCATACCTGTTCCACTTAAATATCTAAATTTTTTGAAAATATAAAAACTTTAATTTGGCATGTTCAATATGTAACACATTAAATGAATAGATTGCTGGCGTCGTATTAGTTTTAGTTTCGCCAAAAATGACATTAATTTTCTTTTTTTTAACACAATAGGGTATAATTTTTCATTACATTAAGTAGTGCCGTTAAAATAAAAAAAGAAGAAATTTAAAACGATCATATGAAACTAAGAATTTTAAATTAAATTGACAACCTTCTGCCTTTAAACAACATTCTGTTCGATGAGAGAGATCCCTACCTGTTATTACTTCTAACATTTCTGTGTTAATCCTATCACATTCTACCCTAATTCGTTGCTTAAGATCTTCTAAGTCTTCTAGAGGTTGCTAACTTTTAAATAACCCCACAAAAAAAATCGAGAGGTGTTAGATCTGGAAATTTGGGAGGCCACCGAATTGCTCCATTTTTGGCAATCCATCTAGAAGGAAATGTATCATTCAAATAATCTGTTATTATTCGTGTGTTATGTGATGGTGCACCATCTTGCTGGAAATACACTCTTTCTCTCACGACGAGTGAAACACCTTCTAATAACACAGGAAGTTCGTTTACGAGAAATTCGAAATAAATTTGCGAATTTAGATTTCCTTCGTATCATATCTAACTTTTCGGTATTACTGAATCTTTCGTTTTCCATTTTTTGACACTACAATATTTTATTTATTTTAATCTAGAAGTGACAAGCCAGAATACGAAAATAAAAGGAAAGGTTGCTTGAGAAACGGCTTGTTTTTTTTTTAATTCACAAGCGTTTTAAAGCTTCTAGATGAATGGTGTTATACGGTGTCATGAGTCATATATCACAGAGAAAAAAAAATCTGTCTTTTTTAGTACTACAAACCGTACTCTTTTAGAGTTAGAAAAAAAGTTGATGTCATTTCCGGTGAAACTGAAGCTAATACGATGTCAATGAGACCATTAAAATATTGAATGAGTAGACACTCATTCAATATTTTATATTACATATATTGAACATGCCTAAGTTCAAACTTTTATGTTTTAAAATAATTGAGAAATTTGAGTGGATCAGGTACGCTAGGACGCTCGGTATATTTTCACATATTTCGTAATCAAAGTTTATTACTGGCATTATAAGCAGACCTTTCCAAATTTAAGAATCAATTTAAATTACATTAATGACTTCAAACCAAAAAAAATTATTATATAAAAATGACGCAACGTTGCAATTCATTTGTTTTATCTCGTTTCAAATTCAAAGATCAAGATTATTTGCCACGTTTTTTCAACAATAATTTCATAGTATATCTCCATCTTTGATCAATTTAAAAATTCTCGGTATACTAAAAAAAAATTCTTGTCTGCAAAATTTTCAAAAGGTGGAAGGTGAAAGGTACATTTTGAAATATTTTCATCAACTGATATTTTCAATTGTATTGTAATGTTATTTTTAACTTTTCTGTAGTCTTGTTTTCGTTTCAAACATTTCAAAAATTATCATTCAACTACTTACATGCCAGCTTTGTTGAAAAAAACATTTAAGTTTTATACTTTTGTAACACTTCGACACATGTATGTAACTAACACTTAATTTTCGGTAATGGGATGTAAAAAATAAAAGTGGGTTTCATATTTAATAATATATGAAGTGCTGTCATTAATCCTAACAGTATCTCAAATTTATTAAGTATCACATGAAAACATCCGCTCTCTTTTAGTTGAAAAGAAATCGATATAGTACCATTAAATTTAATTAAGGGGTGATGCTAACCTTGTTAACGAAACGCGTTAGAATTTTATGTCAATTTTCATATTTTTGGAATGTTAACTTCATTGGTGTATGTTTAACGTAAGCAAGAACTCTGAAACATCATTAATTAACGTTACACTTGAGAACAAATTTTATCGTAACTTGTATCATATAATTTTATTATAATAAATACTGAACCTTGGTTTCTCGAGGCTATCTTCGCTCTGTACATGTAGATCGGCTTATAATTTCACTATTGTTGTATGTTCATTATCATTATTATAATGGTTAAATTGAATATTAGATTTACCGGAATATTGTTTGTTGTATGTGTCTACGTCAACATTTTTTCTAGATAATGCAATTTTATGCCCTCCACATTCGATACAATAACGCGAACAGTACAGATTTTCATTGAAATACTATAAAGCCAAGTTTTAATTGCGAGTACTTTAGGTGCTCTTATCTATGTATATATACAGGGTGTTGGGAAAACGTGGACCAAATTTCGGATGTAAACTCTATGGTTAACCTCGAAAAAAAGTTTAAATAACATTTTTCTAGAATGCAATCCTTTCCATGCTGCAACTGTTTGGATTTTAACACTTACCTTCACATTGAGTGAAGTTTACTATTTAAATTTTGTAAATCCATGGCAATGAAAAATGTAGGTAAACTATATCATTACATCTTATGTTTTATTACACTTTGTAATTGTCAATATGAGCGATTTTTTTTTTATATTTGCAGGTAAAGAGATGGAGAATGAGGACTTATGTTAGAAAAAAGTTTGTTGGAACATTTACTTCGGTGTTGGCCAAAAAATGATATCCAAGCTTTGGCTCACACTTACCGAAACACCCGGTATAATTGTACAACTATAGTCTTGTTGTCACTACAGTATCTAAATTTTGCAAGCTTTTTCGTTTTAAAACGATTACAACTTCTTGAAGAGAAGAAGAGTGTAGTGTCAGTTTTGAAATTTTCACGTCTAGAATAAGAAGTATTTTCCAGTATTTTAAATCAGTATTTCCAGCTTGTTAAAAATTGTTAATTAATGCCAAAACTAGTTCATTTGCTAAACAAGAATGTCGAAACGTTTAGAAAATACAAGGAAATATATAAATATCATAAACTGTAAGAAATATCAACAGAATAAAATATTTTTAAAAGAAAAATGTAATTAATTCAAATATAAATTTACAACGTTTATC